TGGGCAGCAGCTCCGGGAACCGTGCCCCTGCCCACCCCACGCCTCCCTGGGCACCTTGAACGACCCCCCAACTGCTCCAGGCACCTTGCGCGCCCTTCTTACATCTCCAGGCACTGTGCGCCGACCCCTGCCTTCGCCGGCCCGCTCCCGTGGGCCGGGTCCCGACTCCCACCCCTCTGGGCACCCCTAGCTCTGGAGGTGTCCGGAAAGCCGCCGCGGGGTCGCCTGTGCGCGCACTCCGCCCTGGGGGAAGCCCGCTGCCACCGTCGGCCCCGAGCGCCGTCCGGGGGCCGCTTCGAGAGCTCCGCGGCACACACTGTCCCCACGGGGACGGGTCCAGAGAGCCTGGCCACCGTCAGCGGCGCGCTCGGGGCTGCGGGCACCAGGCTGCGGGGATTGCAGGGACCGTCGGTCCGCCGGGGGTCCCCGAGCCCGGCCCGAGCATACGCGCGCGACCCGCTGCCCGCAATCATGGCAGCCGGAGCCTTGGAGCGCAGCCGCCGAGCGCGCCCCAGCAGCCGCCTCGGTGCCAGGGCGGCGGGGGCGGGCCAGGCCGGGAGCTCGCGCCCGCTCCCCCCCGCCTCGGCCGCGCGGGCACCCGGGCGCGAAACAGGAGGCCTCTGGGTCCCCGTGGCGCTGTGCCCCTGCCCGGGGCGGGCAGCGGGAGGGGCCGCAGGGCGCGGGCGCGCTGGCGGGGAGCGCCCGGGGCGGCGTGCCCGCGGGGACGCGCACGCGGGGCTGCGGGGCGAGGCGCGGGGCTCGGGCGGCGAATCCGCTGCTCGCGCCGCCCGCCCCGCCCGCGCGCGCTGTCCCGGGGTGGGGGGCGGCGGAGGGGGGAACCCAGGAGGGGCGGCGCCCAGTCCTCACCCGCAGTGGGCACGGCGGGGGCCGCGAGCGGCCTCGTTGGTATTCCGGGCGCGGTTGCAGCCCCGACCTCCCCGCAGAACAGGGGTGCCCGGGCGCGCGGGCACGGCCGCCGCTCTCGGGCAGTCTCCGCGGGCTGCGGGGCCCGCAGGCGCCTTGCTTTCCCCGTCCCCTCCTCCCTGGGTCCCCCGTACTCCCTCCCCCGCTCCGATCCGGCGGCGAAGGGGTGGGCAGGGAAACGCGCTCTCTGGGACAGGTGCCAACTCCGAGACAAAAGACATAAAATAGGCGGCAACGGGGGAAGCGCGGCCAGCGCGCTCGGGCGGGGACAGCGGCGCCGCGGGGGCCGCATCCTCGGTGCCGACCCGAGAAAGTTTGGGAAGTCGCCGCTGTCGCTTCGCAGCGGCGGGAGACGCGCGGCCCGGGTCGCCCTCGCCCTCCGCGCCGCGCTCGCCCTCTCCGCGCCGCTGCTGAATAATTCATGGCGCGGCCGCCGGCCATTAGCATGCACCGGGCGCGCGGCGCGTCTGTGCCAAGCCGCCGCGGCATTCGGCGCCCGGGCAGCGCCAGACGAGCGGCCTCTCGGCGGCCGGGCCCACGCTGTCCCCGCGCCCGCCTGCCCGCCCAGCGGCGCCCACTGTGCCCCGGCCCACCCCGCCGGGCCGTCCCCAAGCCCTCCTGCAACCCACCGCGCGCCCGACTGCCCTGCTCTGCAAGTCCTGGCCCGCGACGCCCGCTCGGAATGCACGTGAACTTGGAGAAAGTCGCCGGGCGCGCCGGCCGGGCTCTCCGCGGCAGGGCGTGGGCGCCCCCGGGCCGGCGCGCTTTCGTTTTCGTCTGGGACAAAGGTCCCTTGCGGCGCGCGCGGACACGGTGACCCGGTCCTGCGGGCCACTCTCCGGCGCAGTCCGGTCGCTAAACGCGGGGAAGCCGGAGCCCGAAGGGAAGGAGCAGCGCGAGGCTGAGGAAGTGGGGCCTGGGCCGTGCGCCTCACCAGCTGCGGTCCAGAGCCGTCACACCCTGAGAAGAGTTGCGGGAACTGGCACTGCTCTGCCGTCCGCCGCTTCGACGCGGGAAGAGGAGAAGCGTTTGGAACCCAGGACTTAGGACCGCTGGCCGAGGGCCTGTGCAGCTCTGGGCACGCGAGTGCGGCGCCGGCGGCGGCGGCCAGGCGCGGTCCTCCCGCAAGGACAGGGCTGTCGACCTGTGCGCACCCCAGGTCACCATCGGGTTCACCGCGACTCCCGAGGACGGTAAGTGCATTTCTCACTTTCGCTACTTAGTGAGTATTTAAATATTGATGAAGGGATCTCTAAGAGGGACCCTTCCGTAGGGCAGGCCTTGCGCAGACCAGGGAACGCACCAAGGAGGTTGCTCTTGAACCCGAAGCCGCACCAGCTTGCAAGAACTCCACTCGGCATTCATCTGGATCTTAGAATTTATGAAGCACAGCTTCTAATCTCAGGTGTGCAGGCTATTTGCCAGAGAGAATTTTGTTGAACACCTAAAATAAGTGTTAGTAGACATCTTAAACACAATAGAAAGAAAAGAGAAAACATCTGTTTTTAGAATTTTGTGTGTGTGTGTGTATGTGTTTGGAAAGGTTATTGGGAGGCTACAATTCTTTCTTGGAAAATTGCAATATTTCATTTACTTCCTAAACCCACGCTGCTTATTTTTTCCCTCCTGGTCAGACACTTGGGGAGAGCTGATTTAAGGGGGGACCCTCGGTTCGGCGTTGGCGGCATTTGGGCTGGTTCAGTGAAACGCCCTTGTGTGGAAGCTGCTGTTTACGGTGGTGTAAAACAAAAAACAACTCATAACTTTTTGTAATAAATGCCCCTTTATAGGTACCTCACACACAGGCCCAGCCAGTGGCCCTGGGGAGTTTGTGGGGAGCAAGAAAGTGGTGAAGGAATGCTTGCTTGCTGTGATTATAGGGTTTTAAGGTAATGTGAAGATTTTTTCAAAGTTGGGTTTCAAAAGCTGAGGCAGCCTGCAGGCCAGCAATAGTTTCATTTTATTTCAGTTCATCGGTTCTAGCTCTTTGGGGTTTTAAAATACGTGTTTGTCCATGTGTGTGCAGAGCCAGGGTTAAAATGAAACCCCGAACGGTGGGCATTGAGCCTGCTGTTTACTCTGATTGTGCACAAGTGCAGCTCCTCACCTACTCTCCCACCTTATTGATGTGGTTTGGATAACCTTGCTGGGTGCTCACCACAAAATAGTGGGGGGCCTGTTTCCATAACACCCCAGGGCCATGAGCTGGCCCTCGGAGGTTGTGTTTCCGGGACATGGACAGAGGCCCGGATAGTCTACGCTTGCCTCATGCGTCCCTCCCTTTTGGCTGCCTACTGCCCCCCCAAGAACCCAAAGGACTGAGGGGACCTTTTCAGTCCAGTCCAGCCAGCCACAGCCGGAGGCAGAAAGTTTACCTCTGTGCTGGAAGAACTACCCTTGGGTGTCATTTTTGCTGGGCCGCCTCCCCCACATCCCCCTCGCTCCATTTTGAGTTTTTATTTATGACTTTATCAGAGGCTGTTAGCAGACATGAAACCTGGGATGGGACATTTGGGGACGATCTCAGAATCGGGGTGCAGCTGTGGAAGGCATGCTGTGCTAGCCGGGAGCTTCTGCTTGGCATGGTGTTGGTGGTGACGAGGTTGGTAATTAGAAGAAGCTCAAGTTCCACTAGGGCCTTGCCTGTAAAATGCCGAAGACATTTTCCCCAAGGCCATAGGAGACTGGGAACACGGCGTGGAGGGCAGGCATGGTGTGGCACTCTGCTGAGGCTGTGGGGCATCCCCCGAAACAAGCAGTGTCCGGCTCTCCTGCTCAACAGGCCAGACCCGGGGCGAGCCAGGGAAAGGCTGAGCATCAGAGGAGGCAGTCACCAGGGCTGCCGAGCGAGGGCTGCTATTCGTCAAAGCTCCGAAGCCCTGTAGCCCCGTCTCCTGCCACACAGTGTGCCCCCGGTCCATGAAATGGGATGAGGTTGAGATTCTGCAGCCAACAGCGGAGCCGGCACTGGGCACGGAGGCCCTGGCGAGGCCCCGTCCTGCCTTTGTCCGGGTTCCTTAGAGCCAGCTCAGTCTGATGGGGTCTCAGGGTCCCACCAGGGGCTCCTGTGTGGTGTTGGCTCTCCCATCCTGGCACTATTCATTTTTTGAGGGCACACACACAAACGAGAAGGCTCTGGAAATGAAACTGGCGCTTGTCTGTTTTTATCGCTTCTGGATTTCACATCAAGAACGTAGGAAGCAGGGGGCCAGGGCCACAGGGACTGCGGTGCGGGCTGGTGGAAGGATAGGCCTTGGATTTTCTGGTTTTGTTTTAAACCAGGGCCTACCCCAGGATGGTCCCTTGCCTGCGCTGGCGCCTCACTGGGCCCCAGACCCTCCTGGGTGAGAAGGGTCTCCAGGGTGCTGGCGGGGACACGCTGGTCTCTGCCTGGGCAGTGCCCCTCTGCATTGGTGAGGTCTCATGCACAGCGCCTGAGCAGGTGCAGGCCAGCAGTCTGCCTTGCTCCCCAGGAACAGCGTGGCGCTTTGCAGCAGGGTAACTTTTTGTTGCGTGGTTTGCACCTGGCCGGGTCAGGCTCTCTGTGTGAAACTGTCTCGATCCCTCCGGCCCCCTAAAGGGCACTGGGGCTTGTCCCGGCCCAGCATGGACCGGGCCTGGCCAGAAGGCAGACCGTGTGGCCCGGGAGGGACTGGGAAGGGCTCTGCCACCCAGATGGGCACGCTGCCTGGCTGGGTATCCAGGGGAACCTCTCGTGCGGTGTGGATGCATGCCTGTGCTGAGGGACAGTCTCTAGGAAGGGAGGGATCCTTCCAGGCCAGGCAAGAAACATGGTAAAGCCACCGTGCTTCCTTGGGGTGTTGTCGTTGGGTTTTTTTTTTTTTTTTTTTTTTTTTTTGAGACGGTTTTTTTTTTTTTTTTTTTTTTTTTTGAGACGGAGTTTCGCTCTTGTTACCCAGGCTGGAGTGCAATGGCGCGATCTCGGCTCACCGCAACCTCCGCCTCCTGGGTTCAGGCAATTCTCCTGCCTCAGCCTCCTGAGTAGCTGGGACTACAGACATGCGCCACCATGCCCAGCTAATTTTTTTTGTATTTTTAGTAGAGACGGGGTTTCACCATGTTGACCAGGATGGTCTCGATCTCTTGACCTCGTGATCCACCCGCCTCGGCCTCCCAAAGTGCTGGGATTACAGGCTTGAGCCACCGCGCCCGGCCTGTCGTTGGGTTTTGAAGGTTCTTTGAATGTTTTGGGACAGAGGAGGAGACTCCAGCAAGCTGGAGTCCGAGACCCTGGTCTGCAGTCTGCCCCTGCCCCTCCCTGGGTGAACCTGGCACATCTGAGCTCCTCCCTGAGCCTGGACTCTGAGCTCTAAAGCGGGAAGAGTATGAACCCACCTCGGAGGCTTCAGACGTTATTTCGATAAAGCACCCTTCCGGCATGCTGTCGGGGAGTAGAGCATAAATGGCTCCTGCCATTGTCCTTCTTACTGTTGTCAACAGTAATCACTGTTTTTGTTTAGTTATTATTTATTTTACTTACCACTACTATTATTTTATGTTTTATATTATATTTGAAGTAACAGAGAACCCAACTTTGGTCTCACCAGAAAATGAACCAAGAAGTTTACTCTCCCGGCCCCACAGGTGGGGGTAAAGGTGGACCTTGATGTTACCTCCCAGGTAGACTGGCGGGAACTCACAGAGCCAGCGCTTCCCTCGTCACAGGGACTTGGTGTGAGTGACATCCAGATGCATCTTACACCTCACATTGCGTACACAGGATGAGGCCAGGGTCACCTTGGGGACCTGGAAAATGCTGATGGAGGAGGCATCCCTTCCCAGGGGCAGGACAGAAGGCACGCCTGGGTGCTGGCCCTGGGGTCTGACCTTTGCCCCCCCCTTCAGGGGCAGGAGAGAAGGGGGCAGGATGTCCTGACACAGGGGCCCACCGCAGCCACATCAGCCACCAGCGTCCTCGCTGGAAGTGCGGATGGTGATTTGGTGGGAGGGCTTCACCACTCGGATGAGCGAATTGTTCTTTGGCCTGGCACATTAACCAAAGTGATTGCTTTGGAGAATTTTCCCTCCTAGCTGGTCATTCAGGAAGACCCAGCAAGATCGCCCTTGCTGAAAACATCTTGTTGGAATAAGAGAGAGCCCTAAATGGCGTCGGTCATGCTTTCTGATGTTATGGAACTGAGCAGGGAGAAAAAGCAACAATTGTCTCCAAGCAGAGACAATGGATCTTTCATTGGAAATATTTATTTTCGGGGCTGCCCAGCAGTCCCTGGGCTGGGACAGTTCATGGAGCTCGAGTGTCCGGGAATGGCAGGCCCCAGGCATGTAGTTGGGGACAGAGATTTAGGGAAGAAAAAACGAGTGTCTCTTGACTCGTGGTTCTTGAACAATTTTCGTGGGCACGTCTGGCTTTCTTTGTTGAGTGGAGGTTAAACTTGCATGAGTTCATTTTGTTTTCTTCTGCGATTTCTTTTTAAAAGCCACAGGGCTGCCCTTGCAAGTGTTGGAGAGATGGCCAGGTTTGGGGTGGTGGGTAGATGTGGCCTCCCTCTGCCAGGCCCCGTCGGCCTTAGCTAGCTGGGTCACAAAATGGAAGTGAGGAAAAATAGAGCCTGGAAGAGGAAAGCTCTGTCCCCACAGGGCTCAGGGAGGGGCCATCGAGAGGGCGATTGGGGCTAGTAGCTGTGGTTTTCCAGGGTCTGCTCTTCCCCAAATTCCGTTCTCAGATGAACTTGGGAGTGGCCCGTAGGTTGCGGGAGAGTCTGGCCTGACTTGGTGAAGCCCAACACGAGCAAACACCCTTCCAGGCTGCAGAGGGTGTTTTTGTAACTGACAAACGTGGCCCAGAGTTAGGGCTCCGTGAGTATTTTCTGAATTGATAGAATGAAGAGAATTTCACCACAGGCCTACACACGACCCGTCCCCCAGCCCCTTCTCCGAGGTGTCGGAGGAGCTGCCCAGGAAGCCAGGCCAGAGCCCAGGCTCCGATTAGCAGGTTTGGGAGGGGTGGGCCGTGCCGGGGCCTGAAGTGAAGCATCGGAAGGGGAGCTTTGGGAAGGCTGAGGTGGCTCATCGGCCAGGGACACCCAGCCCCTTAGGGGGACCTGTCTGGACACCCCAGCAAGGCCTTGAAGGAGGACAGATGAGGGAGTGCCCCTGGTCTGGTGGGGGACCAGCGTCACCCAAGCAGCTTTCTTGGCCAATTCTAATATCTGGCTTCAGAAATGAGGTTTTATTTTTTTGTCAGTCGGCTGTCACATGTTTTATTTTTTGTTCAATGCGAGAACTTCTCAGCATGGCCCCTGTCGCCCTCTACCCTAGCCCACTCAGAAGAGAGCTCTCTGTCAGCGTGTCCAGGAGCCTCTGAGGCTATGGGTGGAACTGGTAATATAAAAATCATGAAAAAGAATGAAATCTTGTGACAATGGGCAGAAAAACCCCCAAACCAGGTTCCTAGTCACTTTTTTGTGCCTGGTGGGAGGCAGTTTGGAAGTAAAACGAAAATTGGGGATGGGAAGCTTCTTGGTGGCGTCTGGAATGGGGAGTCTCGTCTGTTTGACGACCCAGGAACCCGTGTGGAGAGAGTGGCCGTGCCCACTGTCCAGCTAGCGCCAAGGGGGTTTCCTCGTGGAGACGTGACCGCTGGGTCGCCGGTTCATGTTGTAAAATAGGACCGGTGTTTGCTGTTACCAAATTTGTGCATGAAAGCCACACAGTAAAAAGGCTAAACAATTTTTTTTTAATTCAGTGACAGAATTTTCCCTCCAGATTAAAAAAGAATCGTCCCTTTTGCTTTTGGCTTTCTAAAACCGGGTTTTTGGTGGTGTTTTTTTTTTTTTCCTGTGGAACGCCCTTTCCTTAATTCTGGCATTTCAGATGGCAGGGAGAGCATTTAGCTGAAATATTTACCTGCTGATTTGGGGCTCGTAAATTTAGAATCCCCTTTCATGTGTTTAAGAGAGATATTTACATTCAAATCAGCCTTTTATAATTACATTTTAAATTATAATAAAATGATGGTGCCGGCGTTCCAGTTTTCTGTATATTTTAATGCTAAGGGAAGCTGCGGCAAATTGGGTGGGGGCTGCTTGTCCCGCAGAGCCCCGCTGCCCCACTGTGTGGGTTCTGGCCTGCAGGGGCACATGTGTGTCCTGAGCATGTGGGCCTACATGGGTGTTGCCTGTGGGGCCCTCCCCACACTGCCGGGAGAAGGGCATGGCAGGGATTCTGGCCCCGCACAGTATAATGGTGCCCTAGCCTTGCCACCTGGAGCTCCATCTGAGAAGGGCCTGATTCGGGCTGGAGTCCAGGCCCACCGCCCTCGTGTCCTGAGTTCCACGATGGCCGGTAGGCTTGCCATTATCTCCTGGGCAGCCAGCTGGGCACAGCAGTGGCCACTTCTGGTTGAGGCAGTCCTGTGGGTTGGGGAGCGGGTACCTCCTCCTGCAGCCGTAACCCAGGCCCTGCCTCCTCTGCCATGCCCCTGTGGCTCTTACCGTTGCCATCCCATCTTGAGTGGCTTCCTGATGTTGCCGGCTGGCAGGGCAGGCCCCGTGCTGTGGAGCATGGGGGACCCTTCCCTCCCAGGGCCAGGCTCTTGGCAGCCGGGCCAAGCCGCTGCTGGAATGGAATTCCCGGCGTTCCTGGTGGGGCACATGGCATCGGAATCCTACCTGCTTTGTCTCTGGCATCAGCTGGCGAGCTGGTCACGTGGCCATGTGCGTGAGTGAGACCAGAGCCCAGGACTGAGGGCTCCTCCTGGGCAGCTTCCTCCTCGCTCACTCACTCCCACCCTCTTTTTTTGGCTTTCAGCAGGACCCGCTCTGAGCAGGCGTAAAGCAGTGTTAAAATCAAACAGAATCCAGGCAGCAGGGAGCTCCTGTCCACTGCAGGAGGCTCTCACGGTCTGCCCAGACCACCCTTTATCTCAAGTCCTTATTGACAGAAAGGCCCTGATGTGTCCCATACGCCCAGGAGTCAGGCTCAGAGCCGGGCGGTGGTCACTCCACGCCGTCCCATCTAGTGTAGAGCTGGCCCTGCCTGCCCCCGGACAGCTGTGGGGTAGGTGGCCCCGCTTCCTGGGGAGCCCCTTCCCACACTTCCAGCCTTGTTGCTCACCTGCACAAGGACAACCCTGTGGTCACTGCTGCAGCTCCCGGTCACAGAGGGTGACAGGGGAAAGCTGGACAAACACGTGACCCAGCAGACCCAGCCTTATGCCTGCAGGAGAGAGCAGTGGGGTCCGATATTTTATCTCCAGATCAAAGAGCCACAGTGAAACCCCAGGCCTGCCAACCCCAGTTGTAGGGCCAGAGGACTGGGATGTTTCCCTGACATGGTGGCAAGGTTTGGTTTTGGTGAAATCAAAGATTTGTGAGGGTGTGAGAGTAGGGGATGACGGGCCTGGACTCCCCCCCTCGGACCCTGTCCACTGCCGGCTGCCTGGCCACCCTCAGCCCCCTCAGCATCAAGCGCCCACTGGGTGCCTGGACGGGGCTTGGGGCTCTGTGCACGTTGTTAATTCTGCCACTCCAGCAGCCCTGAGTGGGAGGAGCCATTATCCCCTTTCATTCTATAGATAGGGAAACTGAGGCAGGCTTGCCCGTGATGAAGTGGCGAGTTGGACACAGGGCCAGATTCAAACCTGCAGCCTGGGCTCCCAGCTATAGCAGCGCCAGCCTCTAGGGGCGTTAGAAGAGGGCTCACTGCGAGGGCCCTGGCTAGAGCGGCTTTCAGGGTGGGGTCTCTGGCCTCACCCTAGGGAAATGGCCAGGGCGCTGGCTGCTGCCTGCTGAGCCTGGCATGGGAACAATGCGGCCTCTATCCCTGGAGCGAGCCAGGCCGCCTGGACGCCCAGCCCCTCGGAGCAGCCCGGCCAGGCAGGCGCCCACAGCATGGCGCCCAGTGAGTGCTACCCGTCCACGGGGTGCTGGCACCTTGGCCAGGCCTGGGCGGCCGCTCCCCTTGTCCTCCCTGGCTGGCCACTGAGTGGCCATACGCCGGCTTCCTCCTCCCTCTCCCGCCCAGCCAGCCTCCTCCTTTTTTGGTGGTGGGTTTGGGGGCCCGGCCCACCCGCCACTGCCACGTCTGCCATCCTCCTGCACCCACGAGCATCTTTCAAAAATTCCCGGTGGGCGGGGCCGAGCTGCAGCGTCCGCCTCTGCCCCCCCTCCCCGGGCAGCCAGTGCCAGATGAGAGCAGGAGACAAAAGTAGCATTTTCCTCGTACTCCGGGGCTGGCAGTGGGGCCTTCCCCCAGCGCCACATGGCTCCTGGCAGCCCTGCCCCCTGTGCCGGGGTGGCTGAGGCCCAGCAGGGCCCACTGGACCGAAGGACGGCAGCGGCCAGAGACCAGGGGGCCACAGGCCTGCGGCCGGGGCTGGCACCGGACAGGCTGGTGGCGGGCGGGACCTGCCCTCCTCCCCCGCCCGGGTGACCGGCCAGGCCCGGGGACGTCATTTTCACTTCCTGGCTTTGGAGAAGGCGCCTCCATCTTCCGGCACCTCGGGTAAGTCACCTTCTTTCCTTCTGTCGTGAAGACGAGCCGAGGGTGCTGCCATCTTGTGCCCCGGTGCCTGTTACGTGTCCTCCCTCTAATTGGTTCTCCAAACTCGGAATTCTATTTCAGAGCCCTCCATCTTCCGAGGAGGACGCCCTGCCAAAAACTGCAGGGAAAATGCAGGAGCCAAGCCCATTTACTTTCAAGATTCAAAGCTACAGGCTTTAGAAATCACAATAAAAATGAATGTTTATCATTTCACAGTAGCTGCGTCTTCCATTACGGTGGGAACAAACGCTTCGGAGGCACTAACGGCCACGGCCGCCTCCTGCCTGCCTGGCTGTGTCGGTTTGTGTGGAGGCCTCATTATTATTATTTTATTTTAATTTTTGGCGGCACCAGGACTGGCATAGGGAAAACCACCAGGACCATCCACAGCTCCTCCCAGCAAACTCATCGGCAGGCAGGGCCAGGCCGGCCCCGGGAGGGAGGACTTTGCATCTAGAAACAGAGGCCCTTTTATGTTGTCCGGCATCTTTAATGTGACCATGTCCACAGTTTAGGGATCGAGTTCTTTCTCCCTTTCATTTTAGTTTTTGGGGAAAAAAAAGAAAAAGAAAGAAAGCTCCTTTTGGCCCTCAGCTCAGCATAGGGAAAAATATTTTCGGTTGTTGTGGGCTTTGTTTTTGAGCATTTACTTCAACTTGGGGGTTCCACCTGAAAGTGCTGTGCCTGTCGTGTCACCGCCCTGCCCACAGGCTGCGTGTGGAGTGTGCATGCGTGGGCACCATCCACTACACAGACCCTCAGGGAAGCCTGAGTGGCCTCATGGCCTGCCCATGTCCTGGATCCCATGCCAGGGGATCCTCACCTGCAGAGCTGCTGGGGGAGACACCCAGGTCGTGCAGGGCCTGAAACATGGCCGGCAGGGCTGAGAGTCCCTCAAAGACCTTTGTGTCCCCCCACCTCGCCACCGCTGTCCAGGAGCTGCGCTCAGTGGCTGCCCGGGTGTCCCTGTTGGTCCCTGGCCCTCCAGAAGCACTGACCGTTTTGATTCCGAGGTGGGCTTCGCAGAGCACTGCTCCGGGCCCACCTCCATGCTCTGGCAGGCTAACAAAAGCGTCCTCGGATGCAGCCTGGTTCCCCACCCTTGAGGAGAGCCAGGGTCTTGATTTATGGAAAATGGAAAATCAGACCCGGAAAGTTAAAAAATGGCACCGCGAGGAAAACTCCCATGGAAATCCATCTTTGTTTTCTCAGTTCGGAGGCGCGTGGGCCCTGCGTGCGCCGGTCTCGGTCTGAGCGGCCGGCCTCGGCAGACAGCACCAAATCTGAAAACGGAGCTCGGCTAACACGAGGACTCTCAGCGGCTGCTTTTGTTCTTAGATGAGCCAGCAGTCGAGACTGGAGGGTTTGGGGCTGCAGAAACAGGCATATATATATAGCAGAGATAATTAAAACATTTCATGACATGACAGCCACATTCTGCTGCTGCAAGTTGGAGGATTCATGCCACCCAAATATTTAGCAAGCATCAAATAAAACACTGGTGGCAAAATAAAAGTAATAGAGAAGAAAAGCACAATACATTTAAAAGCAAAAGAGTCAAGGTGATAGGGAATGGGCAGGGGAGAAGTGGGAGAGTTCAGCATTTTAAAAGAATTTACGTGTTGAATAACTGGCTACTCGTTTTTTTTTTTTTTTTTGTATAATTAATGTAGGCAAATAGACCCTTAATCCTAAATCCTGGATTGAGAGATGGGCAAATTTCCTGATCATTAATTTGTTTTTGTTTTTTGTTTTCTTGGACAAGATAGGGGCAAGTAGCAGAAAAATCAGTTAATTCACATAAAGGAACATTTTCATTCTAAATTAGTATTGCCATTGCAATTAAATTTATCTAGTGTTTTTAACATGCATGAAAAATTCACTGTCCCACGTACACCTTCGGTACCTGGGACCGTTGTATGTGATCGACTAGCATCTTAGTTTTTTAACTTGGATAACATTCGACCCTCCCCCACCACCCTCAAAATCAGTAATATGCTACGGATTCTGCTTTTTAAAAAAATCAGGCCAAAATCTCAGCATTCTCCATGGCACCCAGTGCTTCTCGGCAGTATTTTTTTTTTTTTTTTTTTTGAAGAAAGTACCACGCAAAGCACTTTTCACATCATCGCTTCTATATAAATTCCACTATAGACTGAAATTATACATTCTCGCAGCACAGATGGGCTGGTCTGTCATTACGGCTGCTGGGTACTTGTTGGAACACACAGCATATTTCAATTGTGGAGTCGACAATTTCGAAGAACTGGGGTCAAAATAAACAAGTTGCATTTGTGTATAGAAACAGACTTATTCAATGATCTTCTCATCCCTTGGAAAATTCGCCAGAGGGGCAATCACCACCTTCATTAAACTTTAATTTAATTTTTGGTCTGTATCTTTTAAGACCCCACATGCCCTATGTCAAAGGCCCATCAATGTTTTAATTCATGACCAATTTTTCTCTTCTGCTGCAGCATCAGCAGTGGAAAACAAGATTTAAATTCAGACTCGTGGCTGTGGTTTTGACTATCTTTTAATTTTAACATCTTAATAATTTTAATATCTTACTAATCTCTATAGGGAAGGTGTTAAATCTCTAACGGTTCTATGTTGAGTTACATATTATTTTGAGGCCTTTATGAAAAATCAGATTATTTATATTTAGGATGCTCTAAAGATACATTTAAATCCAAACTCCACCAACAAAAAAATGCAGCAGGTAAAATACGTAGAGTAGCCATAAACTTAAAAAAAAATTATCTCACCAAGATAACAAAGGGCAGAATTTATTGGTTTGTATCAACCTCCTTGAGGGCAGAGCAGTTTTTACAGCCACAATAATTTGCAAATGATGATAACTGTTTATTTTGCGAATATGCTCATGTTATGATGCAATCAGTGAGGCCTTCTTTCTTTTCCCTTATGTGTGTTTGCCTCTGTGTTTCTAAATTCCGGATTCCGGCTCTGCAGTTCCTCGCCGGCTGAGACCACGTTCCCACGTTCCTGCCTCAGTGGCGGTGGCCAGGAGGAGGGAAGGGTGCGCCCCCTGTGTTGCCTCCTGCGAGCTCCAGCCACCGCATCCATATTTGTTCATAGAAGCGCTTTGTTGCAGCTTGTGTGCTTTAAGGGATGTACCTGTTGGCGGAGATGTTAGCAAACAATAGGAAAAGTAAAAAGTTGATGAAATTCACCAGAGCTGCTTGGGAGCCTGCTCTGCTGTCTGGCAGTTTTAAACCACATCTTCTTTTCCAATTCTGGTCTTTGAGCCTATTGACTCCTGCCTCCGTAGCAGGGATATGGCCCAGGTCTGGGGGCTCTAAAAGATGAGGCCACGTGAAACGGCCCCAGCCTTTGGGCCACAGAGTCTCTAAGCAGCCGTGGGCGTGGCGATGGCGGTAACAGTAGCAGTGGCACTCCCTGCTGCTGTTCCCATGCCCGCTGCGTGCCGTGGCACCTGTGTTTGGAAGAGCACTGGCCCTGGGGCCCGAAGTCCGAGTTCAGACCGAGTCGTCTTTGATTTGGGGCCGTGTTGATCCAGGGCAAGTGATTTCACGTCTCCAGCCTCATATTCTTATCTGTAAAATGGAGGCAGTAAGAGTCAACTTGCTGAACCCATGGAAAGCTGGGATCATGGTGAGCACCCCATAAATGGTTTTGCTTCCTTGCCTGATTTCTGAGGCTCAGATGATGCCTGCAAGGGGGCATTAGCATCACCTCCATTCCACCGGGGAGGCAGCGAACCTCGGAGAGGCTAAGTGGGTTCCCCAAGGTTCAATCAGCTGATCAGGGCCGGGCCAGGACTTGAACCCAGCCCTGCCATTTTCCAAAGCCCAGGTTCTGCCACAGCATTCACCGGTGAGTGTTTCTGCACTGGTGTGCGTGCCGCCCCGGGTGTGGACAGCGTGCTTGCACACAGGCATGTGCGTGTAACGTTTCCATGCGTGCGGAGGCGCCCTCTCATTTCTCCACTGGCTGACATTCCTGGTAGGTGGGCAGTTTCCAAAGAGGTGAACTGGTGTTTGGAGGCGCATTTGTCTGAGGGCCCCGGAGCCCTCAGCCCACCCGTGAGGAAGACGGGGCCCTGGGCCTCCACTGCCCCCAGGATGTCCGTGAAGGGTGCTTTTCCCCAGCCCAGGGCTAGCGAAGCCGATGGCGGTGGACTGACCACCCAGGCCTGGGCTTCTGGCCGCGCTCGGCACTGCCGAGGCAGGCCCTGGCTAGGTGGCCTGCACGCTGGGCCCTGGCCAGACGCACTGCTGCCTCCGTATGTGGACAGGCGGGTCTGGGCGCCGGCCATTTGCAGACTGGGTGGAGTGGAAGTGAGGCCTGCAGGCCCCGGAGAGGAAATGGCGGCGTGGGCAGGCCCAGAGGAGGACCGGGAAGGCGGGCCACGGGAGGGAGCGCCCGGAAGGCCTCTGTGGGCCGGTGAGCGTGCTAGCCGCCTTTCTCCAAGAAGCAGCCAGCTGGCCAGGCCTTCCCGGCAGGCCTGGGTGCCCACATGCGCACACCTGTGCCTGCATGCCAGGGCACGGGGAGCCTCACGGCCCCATTTCCTAGGAGGGAGCATGGCAGGGACTGGGTTCAGTGAGACGGCGCAAGTGCCCAGCACGCCTTCAGACGAAACAGACCTTGACAAAAGCGGTTCTTACTACAAGGTCAGCTGTGTCTTGAAAACGGGGGCTTCCGGCCTCCTCCTCGGAAGGCAGCTGCGGGCGCCACATGAGCCTTGTCTGGGAGCCCTTGGTCCTTGGCACTTCCCTCGCCGTGGCCTTAGGAAGACGGGACGGGAGGCCCGGGCCCTGCGGTGGGCCCTCTCAGCCCATTTCAGACCCTCCCGACCGGCTTCCCATGACCTTAACGGGATGGCGTGACCAGCACCCGCCCAGATGCCAGGGTGGCCGGGTGTGCCGCGGTGTCGGGTGGTCTTGGAGAAGGGTCCCAGCACCGGCTTGTGTGAGCCTCTGGGCTTCCGAGCTTCCAGGCGGGCTGGGTTCAGGGTGTGGGCTGGGCCAGCCATTCCCAAAACCCCAGAAGGAATCCGCAGGAGGCGGGGACTGGGAAGGCAGCCGGGTTGCGGGTTGCGCCAGTGCCTGCCAGGGAACCTCTGGCCCCATTTCCTGGGAGCCCGGCCCCGCCCTAGGATTCCTGGAGTGGGCGTGCCCACGCTTCCGGCCCAGACGTGGGTGGAGGATCCCACCCCGGCCTTCCGCCCGGGAGGCTTCTTTCAACTCCATGCAAGGAGGACTCCACCTGGGCCTGGTGCTTCAAGGTCCGGATGAGCGGACACTGGCGCCTGTGACCTTGCAGCGGACGCCCTTTAAAGTCTGCATGGCCTTGTTCGGAAGCCTGGGCAGCGTGGAGACGGTCCCCTCAGCTGGAGATAGTAAGTTGCCAGATGCCCGCACTTGTGGAGATTCCCAGCACCTGGCGGGTGGGCCGAAGGGGGCTCAGGCCTCCAGCACCAGGGGTGAGCTATCTCCTAGATGGATTCAAATGACTCAAATTCACGGGGCTCGGCCCGAGGCACCCACATTATGGAAGCAACTTGCAAATGGGCTCTCCTGGGGCTGAGGAACGTGGCAGGCCACGCCAGGCCACGCCGGTCCACGGCGGCCACAGCCTTGGCTAGGTGCCGTGGAGGGAAAGATGTGGCCACCGCAGCGTATCCATCTGCCGGGGCCACCGGGTCAGCAGGGCAGGAGCAGAGGGGAATCCTGGGTGGCGGAAATCCCCTGCTTTGGTCCAGGGGAGAAAGTTGGCGCTGCGTTCGGTGCATGTTGGATGTTAGACTCGGCCCTCAGGGCAGGGGGTGTCAAGCTGTGTTGAGCACCTACTAAGTGCCAGACCCCGGACAGGGTGCTTTCCATCCATTTTTATAAACGTCCATTTTTAAATGTCATCCGCCAATTCTATTTCATTGCAACATCCATCTGGAGCCAGCTGTCGCCATGCTGTTCTCGGGCTGGAATACGGAGTACACAGGACAGACAGGCCCCTGTCTGCGTGGACGTTCCAGTCTAGTGGGCTGTGGGTGTTCATGGTTGCCTATACGAGGAGGCTAAGGTTCAGGGAGGCTGAGGGATCTCCCCAGAGTCACAGGGCCAGCAGCTACCGGAGCCTTCTCCCTAACCCAGGTCCTCCCATGCCTGCGCCTGCACAGAACCACACGGGACCCCTGTTTCTCTTCGGCCTCTCTTGGATGCTGGCCTTGTCTGGTTCTCCCTGGACCCCCAGCACGAGGAAGGACTATTCCTTCGGCTTGGAATCCTTCTGCCCCAGGGAGAGCCAGAATTGTCCTGGGGACATGGGTCACTCTGGCTCTGAGGCCCTGAGGCCTCTCTGGCTGAGTGGTCATTGCGCCAGCATTCAGAGCATGCTGGTTTGGGCTGTGCCAGGCTCCAGGGCACCCTGCCACTCTCGGGCTCTGTGCCCTCGAGTCCTGGTGTGCTGGCAGGCGTGGGACTGCACACAGTGTGGCCACAGGTGGCAGTAAGGAGGGAGCTACAGTCGTCCTTGTTCTTGGTGTTTTGCGGCTGAGAGGCAGGCACTGTATGAGATTGTGCCCCAGATGCCATGTGCCAGACCAGGATGGGCTCACAGGACAGCAGCCCCGCAAGGGCAGATGGGGGACCACATCAGGGCAGGGACACAAGAACCTTCTCGAGACCCCACCCCATCCATCGGCGTGGGTCACACTCCTGGATGACCCGTCTTCTCCGAGCGTTGTGGCGCTCTCGGCCCTGAGCCCACGGGTTTTCTTGTGTTTCAGAGCAGTGCTGAGTTCACTGCATTTTACAGAGGACTGGCTCAGAGAGGTTATGGAACCCATCATGTGCCAGGCCCCAGGATGGCCACGGGAAGAGGCCCAACAGCGCTGTTGAGTGATGGGATAGAACAGACCTGGGGGAGCACTGGGGCCTTGGCCAGAGGGGCTGGAGCCCAGACCCACGGCCCAAGCCCTGCACTGCCTGCACCTGGCCCACAGGCATGGCGTCCTCATGGAGAGGCAGGCTGCGTGTCCTCAGCAAACACGGGCACCAAATGGAGACCAGACAGAGGCCAGTACCAGACGGGGCCGAGAAGTTAGTTTGGAACATCCTAGGAATCCAGGAGGCCTCCCCGAGGTGACAGCCCTGCAGTCCCCGGCTCCTTCCCAAAGCTGACCTCCGAGGCTGCAGCTGCAGAGCTCCTGTGTCCAGCCCTCGGGCCTGCCACGTACCAGGGCCCCACTGCCAGGCACCGCCCCGTGCCGGCCCTGTACAGGCCACATCTGCTGCAGCAGCCATGCCAGAGCTCCGCCTCCCGGGCTCTGTCCCCATGGAAACCACGGTGGGGGGGCTCCTGCTGCATTTGGCCCGCTGACTGGTTTCCATTAGAGCCGGCCTGCTTTCCCTGAGCTCTGCCCCTGAAGTTCAAGGCTTCGCCTGGGGGTTTCTTCTTACATTCACAGAGCACCAGCCGTTTGGTGCCAGGGAAGCCAGCGGTCTGGGCCCCGCCCGCCCTGGCCAACACGCACCAGCAGCGCCTGATGCCCAGTGCCACGGCAGCTCCCCTGTCCTTTCTCATTGGAGTCCAGTGGCTGCTGGGTTCTGGTGTCGTGGACTCAGCCCTGTGTCCGAGTCAGGGCCTTGGGCTCCCCTGTGTCTGGGCTGTAGAATCACTGAGGGGCCCTTGAATAAGCCCCTTCCTCTCTCTGGGCCTCAGTTTACCCATCTGTAAAATGAGAGGGTGGAACTATTTCTTGAGTTCCTTGCAATGCTGAGAAAGAAAGACAAAGAGAAAATGAAGCCGCAGGAGCACTGGCGCTGCCAGGTTCTCAGAACTGGGGTTCTTGTTGTTTGCAAAGAGAGTTGTTTTTTTGAAGGAAGGAGTCACGGAATTTGACCAGAGACGATTGTTTGAGGGGTCAAGAGCCAGCCAGAGCCCACGGACATGCAGCACGGAAGGCGCAGCCAGAAGCCTGGGCAGCGGTACCCATCGACCCGCCTTGGCGGGTTTGGCACCCAGTGACCTGGCCGTGAACACGGTGAGCGGAGACAGGAAGTGTGCCAGTGCCGGAATCTGAAGGGCTCTGGAACTCTCCCCGAGAGGTTTCCGGAGGTCAGAAATGTGGGCAGAAAATGAGACCTAGCTTTTAAAAACCTGGCCGACTCATCCCCAGGGAGCCCAGGGAGGCCTGGGAAGGTGCCGCCACCACCGCGTGGCTGAGTTGCAAGCGCTCACCGGACCAGACCTGGGAGTGCCGGGCTGTTAGGGTCAGCAGCAAGGTGGCCGCAGCCCAGACGATGTCCTGCTGGTGGCTTCCTCATCCAGTTCTTGGGAGTCAGGAGTCTCCAGCGGGGAGGTGGTGATGGTGCTGGGGCCTTTTGCCTGGCCTGCCAGTGGCCAGCTTGACTCTCCCCACGGGACCTCCCAGCTCCTGCTGCCTGGGGTGGTGGTGCGCGTTGGCCTCCCCTGGGCCTTGTGGGTGCTGGCACCGGCCTGGGAACATGTTTCCAGCTCACAGACGAGGAGCAGAGCCCAGGAGGTGGTCGCAGAGCTTCTCGGCAGCAGGGAGTGAACAGCCCGGGGGGTGGGCAGGTTGCTTTGCCTCCCCCGGCCTCAGTATCTTCATCTGTAAAATAGGGCTAGTAACCTTACCCTCCTAGTTAGGGTGAGAGTTAGACCAGATGAGAGGCAGGATTGGAGCTGGATAAATGGCAGGAGACGGCACCGGAACTGCGCCCACCCAGCATCCTTGTCATGAGCAAGGCAGACCACACATCCCAGAGAGCCCAGCTCCGTGATGGGAGAGCAGTGGCAGGCTAACTGTGGTCAGGCCCACCTGGAGTGGCTGCTGGCTAGTCTCCGGGGTG